TTCTCTGCACTATTTCTAGAGTTTATACAATACCATACAATAGCAGAGTTGGAAGGGACCTTGGAGGTCTTCTAGTCCAACCCCCTGCTTAGGCAGGAAACCGTACACCATTTCAGACAAATGGCTATCCAACATCTTCTTAAAGACTTTAAAGTGTTGGGGCATTCACAACTTCTGGAGGCAACTTCTGTTCCACTGATTAATTGTTCTCACTGTCAGGAAATTTCTCCTCAGTTCTAAGTTGCTTCTCACCGTGATTAGTTTCCACCCATTGCTTCTTGTTCTACCCTCAGGTGCCATGGAGAATAGCTTGACTCCCTCTTCTTTGGGGAAACCCCTGAGATATTGGAAGACTGCTATCATGTCTCTCCTTCTTTCTATTAAACTAGACATACCCAGTTCCTGCAACCGTTCTTCATACGTTTTATCCTCCAGTCCCCTAATGTGTTTTGGTCTCCAGTCCCCTTCTTGTCTTTGGAGGGGTGGACTTAACATCTGGTTCTCTTTTGCAAAATGCAAGACTTTCTTCCCCTCTTCTTTCTTTTCGGCGTGAAGTGAGATTGGATGGCAACTGTGGTGGTGGTGCCCAAGGAATGGGGGGGGGGGGCAGTCGCCTTCAGGAGGCAGAAGTAGCCCACCTTCTGGGTCAAGTTGGCTCACGGGTTGCATCTCAGCCACCCCACCCCTGCCTGAGACAGCTGCTGCACGCCCGCCTCACCCTTAACGTCCGTGTTTTCCCATCCTCCAGATCACCCTCTAATCCAGTGTTCCTCAACCTTGGCGACTTTTCAGTCCTCTGGACTTCAACTCCCAGAATTCTCCAGCCATTCCCCAGGAATTCTGGGAGTTGAAGTCCACAGGACTTAACAGTCGCCGAGGTTGAGAAACACTGCTCTAATTGAAACGGATGGCTTTACACCACACGCTGCCCTCTGACACACAAACGCACATTCCCCCCCCCCCGTTCAACGCCCCTGATCGCCACCACACAAGCCAGCGTGATTTGAACAATGGACTTTATTCCCCTCATTTTCCCAATCCAGACGAAACAACAACTTATTAACTTCTCTGCTTGCCAAAAGAAGAGACAAAAAAAAATTCCGTAAGGACAAATGGCTGATGCCTTCTTGGTATAGTCGAGCCGTTGGGCTACCGTCTTGAAGAGATGGAGACCACACACACACACACACACACACACACCTCCCCTTCGCAGCCTTGTAGAAGCCATGATTGCAAACTTCTAAAGGATGTCGGTTTATTTCATGGACGGCACGACCAGATGTGGCTCATCACTGGCGCCGAAGAATTAACTACCATTGGCTGCCTGAAAGCATTTGTGTTTTGCAAAAGCTAAGCAGGGCTAAACTTGGTTAATTTGTGGACGGGCGATCACGAAGGACCCATCTGAGAAATTGTTAAGGAAGGAAGGAAGGAAGGAAGGAAGGAAGGAAGGAAGGAAGGAAGGAAGGAAGGAATGGCTAGAGAGGAAAAAACAGAGAAGCAGATAGATCTTTTGGTAGATGGAAGGATGGATGAGTAGAGGATAGAATGGATAGGCAGGCAGACAAATATACTTTTACACTTTTCTTGGCCTCTCTCTCTCTCTCTCCCTCCCTCTCCTCTGAAGGCTCCAGTCCTGGGGATTTGGTCATTCACAAAGTATCACCTAACCATCTTGGGGTTTACCAGTGCATCGTCTCCAACAAAGTTGGGTCAGCTCGCTGCACCTTGGAAGTCTCCCATGGTAAGTGAAAACCCATTTTCTATCTATTTCTCAAGCCCCAAGCTTGAGTGAGGAAGGAAGGAAGGAAAGAAAAGAGAAACGGAAGGAAAGAAAAAGAAAGAAAGAAAAAAAGAAAGAAAGACAGAAAGAAAGGGAAGGAAGGAGATAGGTGAAGAGCAATAGCAATAGCAATAGCAGTAGACTTATATACCGCTTCATAGGCCTTTCAGGTCTCTCTAAGCGGTTTACAGAGAGTCAGCATATTGCCCCCAACAATCTGGGTCCTCATTTTACCCACCTCGGAAGGATGGAAGGCTGAGTCAACCCTGAGCCGGTGAGATTTGAACCGCTGACCTGCTGATCTAGCAGTAGCCTGCAGTGCTGCATTTAACCACTGCGCCACCTTGGCTCTAGAAGAAGAGGTAGACAGAGAGGGAGGGGAGGAAGGAAGAAAGGAGAGAAAAGAGGAAGGAAGGAAAGAAGAAGGAAGGAGATAGGTGAAGAGGTAGACAGGGAGGGAGGGGAGGAAGGAAAGAAAAGAGAAAAGGAATTAAGGAAGGAAGGGAAGGAGGAGAAGGAAGGAAATAGGTGAAGAGGTAGACAGGGAGGGGAGGAAGGAAGGAAGGAAGGAAAGGAAAGGAAAGAGAAAAGAAAGGAAGGAAAGGAGGAGAAGGAAGGATAGGCGAAGAGGTAGACAGAAGGGAGGAAGAAAAGGAGAGAAAATAGAAAAAGAAGGAAAGAAAGAAAGAGAAGGAAGGAGATATGTGAAGAGGTAGACAGGGAGGGGAGGAAAGAAGGAAAGGAAAGAAGAGAAAAGGAAGGAGAAGGAAAGAGATCGGCAAAGAGGTAGACAGAGAGGGAGGGGAGGAAGGAAGGAAGAAAAGGAGAGAAAAGAGAAAAGGAAGGAAGGAAAGAAGAAGGAAGGAGATAGGTGAAGAGGTAGCCAGAGAGGGAGGGGAGGAAGGAAGGAAGAAAAGAGAAAATGAAGGAAGGAAAGAAGGAGAAGGAAGGAGATAGGTGATGAGGTAGACAGGGAGGGGAGGAAGGAAGGAAGGAAAGATGGAAAGGATAGAAAAGAGAAAAGAAAGGAAGGAAAGAAGGAGAAGGAAGGATAGGTGAAGAGGTAGACAGACAGGGAGGGGAGGAAGGAAGAAAAGGAGAGAAAAGAGAAAAGGAAGGAAGGAATGAAGAAGGAAGGAGAGGTGAAGAGGTAGACAGGGAGGGAAGGGAGGAAGGAAAGAAAGGAAAGAAAGAAAGAAATCCAAGAAGACAATTAACCAAACCACCCCAAAAATTCCTCCATGAAATGAACAGAATTTGCTCTCAAGTGCAAATCTCAAAAGAATAGATTAGAATAACAGAGTTGGAAGGGACCTCGGAGATCTTCTAGTCCAACCCCCTGCTTAGACAGGATACCCTACACCGCTTCAGACAAATGGTTATCCAATCCCTCTTTAAAAAACTACGAAAAATAAACCACTTTATTGCAAGCAGGCAACAAGATCAGGAAAATCTTCTCAATCCGAGATTTGAGACAACCCCAGTTTGAAAAAAGAAGCAGAAGAAAATGGCAAATATTACAGATTGGCAGAAAATAACGTTGTGGTTTGGAACTCCTGTCTAAAGGAAGGAATCCCCGGCAATCCAAGAGGTTGTTTTTGGAAATACACTCTGCACATGTTCAGAAGACCCTTCCCATATTTATTATCACAGCAATAAGTCCCTCCCCAGTGAGGCTGGCTTGGCTCAGAGATCACCCATCCTTGACTCAAGGGGAAGGGGCAGTAAAATACAAGAAAAAGAGAAAAAAAGAACGGAAACAAGTTTCCTTTTTAAAATTTTTTTTGCAAATACATGTCCACAATCATTTGGTCAACAGGTCTCTTTGAACAAAACTTTGTCCTGCCTCTGGAGCAGGATTTTCTCTTGGGCAATCTCTTCCTCGTTCTTCTTTTTCGTCCTTTTGGATCTGTGGTTTAAAGGGAAGAATAAATCGTAGGTCAGCTGGAAAGCATCTCCATCATGTCGTGCAATTAACATCGATTAAGTAAGAGGGATGGACTCAACTCCCAGAATTCCCCAGCCAGAATGGACTTAATTCCAGAATTATCTAGCCAACGTAGATGGATTTCAACTCCCAAGAACATAGAACTCCCAAGAACTCTCCATCCAACATAGCTGGACTCAATTCCTAGAATTCCCCAGACAGCATAAATGTAAAGGAAAAAGTTCCCTTCGCACATCTGTGCCAGTCGTTCCCGGCTCTAGGGGGCCCTGCTCATCTCCGTTTCAAAGCCGAAGAGCCAGCGCTGTCCGAAGACGTCTCCGTGGTCATGTGGCCGGCGTGACTCAACGCCGAAGGCGCACGGAACGCTGCTCCCTTCCCACCAAAGGTGGTTCCTATTTTTCTACTTGCATTTTTAACCTGCTTCCGAACTGCTACGTTGGCAGAAGCTGGGACAAGTCACGGGAGCTCACTCAGTTACGCGGCGCTGGGGATTCGAACCGGCAAACCGCCGACCTTTCTCTGATCAGAACTTTCTTTATTTAGTCTTTCTTACTTTTTATTCGTTCGTTCGTTCGATTTATGGGCCATCCATACAGTCAAGAGGCAATTTTTAAAAAATGAGATAAATAAAAAGAATTTGCCAAGTTCAGAAGTGGGCCCAAATCGCCCGGCGTAACCCCGACGAGAGCCACTCACCTGTTCTCAACATCTTCGATCGTATCTGGCAACGGGACGTTCAAAGTTTCCGGCAAAAGACAGGCGATCATTCCGGCCACGATGGGGAGCCCCCCGTACACGATGGGCGGGAGGAAGGGGTAATAATCCCCTAAGACGTTAGTCAATGGGGAAACCATGCCCCCTACGCGGGCCATGGTGCTGCCGAAACCCAGCCCGGTCTGTCTGCAATAGAATGCAAAGATCAGTGAGGTTGAGGGGGGGTGTTCTGACCCCCTCCTCCGTCTAGTAACAAATG